GAGCAGCCCGATCTCCTGTGGAGAAGCAGAAGGTCACGGGGACTGGCCATGGGGCTGCCCCATTCCTGTCCTGCCCCGCTGTAGCTGCCGCAGGGAAGCACAGGGGGGGGCTGCCATTACCCCCCCAGGACAAACCCTCTTGGTTGCCAGCACCACCGGGCAGTGTGGGCAGTGGGATGGCCACAAGCACACGCAGGCTCTGCAGCACGGCGGTTCCACAGAATCATAGAATTGCCTGGGTTGGAAGGGACCCTTCACATGGTACCTGCTCCAGCATGTTCTGTGGGATGGCCTGCAGCTCCGGGTCCGGGTGGTTCAGCAGAGCGGCACAGAACTTGGTGAAGCCCATGCTGCAGCCCTCCACCGCTCCCTAGGGCAGAGCAGCCTCAGGTCCCCGCGCCACAAAGGGGGCCCCTGTGCCATGATGGGTGCCCCTCCCACCACGCAGGGTCCCCCACCAGTCCCTCATGGCCCCCAGAAATCTCCTTGCAAAGGGGAAGGAGGAAGCGAGAAGAGGTGATGGTGTGGGGATGTGATGGGCTCTGGTGCTGGGATCCCAGCCGTGCCCCGTGGCCCCAGAGCAGACCCTGCCCCACTGAACACCCCTGAGAGCCCTCGGCTACTGGGATAGGGCTGGAGGGGTGGGCATGGGGCTGAGCCACCCCAGGTGGGACACGCTCTTACCCAGTGCCGGCACCGCAGCAGGATTTCCTGGAAGACCCTCGCGGCTGTCTGCAGGGTGGGGAGTGGCAGGAGGGACCCCCATCCGGTGGGCAGCGCTGGGGGGGCCAGCAGCAGCTCAGCCAGCCCCCCCAGGAGCAGCCCGATCTCCTGTGGAGAAGCAGAAGGTCACGGGGACCGGCCGTGGGGCTGCCCCATTCCTGTCCTGCCCCGCTGTCGCAGGGAAGCACAGGGGGGGCTGCCATTGCCCCCCTGGCACAGACCCTCTTGGTTGCCAGCACCACCGGGCAGTGTGGGCAGTGGGATGGCCACAAGCACACGCAGGCTCTGCAGCACGGCAGCCCACCACACAGGGGTCCCCCACCAGCCCCTCATGGCCCCCAGAAACCTCCTTGCAAAGGGGAAGGAGGAAGCGAGAAGAGGTGATGGTGTGGGGATGTGATGGGCTCTGGTGCTGGGATCCCAGCCGTGCCCCGTGGCCCCAGAGCAGACCCTGCCCCACTGAACACCCCTGAGAGCCCCCGGCTACCGGGACAGGGCTGGAGGGGTGGGCATGGGGCTGAGCCACCCCAGGTGGGACACGCTCTTACCCAGTGCCGGCACCGCAGCAGGATTTCCTGGAAGACCCTCGCGGCTGTCTGCAGGGTGGGGAGTGGCAGGAGGGACCCCCATCCGGTGGGCAGCGCTGGGGGGGCCAGCAGCAGCTCAGCCAGCCCCCCCAGGAGCAGCCCGATCTCCTGTGGAGAAGCAGAAGGTCACGGGGACCGGCCGTGGGGCTGCCCCATTCCTGTCCTGCCCCGCTGTCGCAGGGAAGCACAGGGGGGGCTGCCATTGCCCCCCTGGCACAGACCCTCTTGGTTGCCAGCACCACCGGGCAGTGTGGGCAGTGGGATGGCCACAAGCACACGCAGGCTCTGCAGCACGGCAGTTCCACAGAATCATAGAATTGCCTGGATTGGAAGGGACCCTTCAAATCATCCAACCATCAACCCAACACTGACAAAGCCACCACTGACCCACCTCCCTCAGCACCATGTCTGCCCAGCTTTTAGATACCTCCAGGGATGGTGACTCCACCATTTCCCTGGGCAACCTGGTCCAAGGCTTGATAACTCTTTCAGTGTCAAAATTGTTCCTAATCTCCAACCTGAACCTCCCCTGGGGCAACTTGAGGTCGTTTCCTCTTGTTCCATCACCTGTTCCTTGGGAGAAGAGACCAACTTCCCCTGGCTACACCCTCCTTTCAGGGAGTTGGAGGGAGCAAGAAGGTCTCCCAGGTTTCCCAGGGCAGAGAGGGCCTTTTTGCAGGCTGCCACTGGAGAGGAGGAGAAGGCAGGATGGGTGGCTATCAGAAAGGAGCCATGATGGGCTACAAGCTGGGGAGCCTGGCTCTGCCACAGCTGGGGTCTGTCAGTGCCTGGGACCCAGCTGGGCTACATCAGGGCAGGTGGGGAGGTGGCTGCTTTTGGGGAGGAGGGTGGTTGCATCCTCCCTGGCAGGGAGTGAGGATGTTCTGTGGCAGCTCTGAGGTAAGGGCAGAGATTCCCCATCATTAGTCCCCAGGGAGGGAGAATGCCCCGAGGGGAGCCGAGGAGCCCGGCTGCGGGGGTGAGCTGGGTGGTGGTTGCTGTGCTGGGGTGCCCCTGTCCCCGGTGCCATGGGGAGGGGTGCCTACCTTCACCGACACCCAGCAGCAGGTCAGGATCAGGCTGTGCTCCTCCGACAGCAGGACTGAGTCCTCCTCTTCCTCCTCCTCCTGCCCCCGGCCTTTCCCCAGCATGATGAGGGAGCCGATGGCGTTCCCCATGTCTGCAAACGATGGGGCCGCAGCTGCGGAAGGGAGAAGCCTGGTGTGAGCGGGGCGGTGTGGGGCAGAGGGAGGGGGATGTTGCTGGCGGGGTGGGGAGGACCCCCTGTTCAGAGCACACACAAATGACACTGTCTCCTGTCCCACAGTGTGTCCCAAAGCAAGTCCCTTCCCTGCAGGTTTGGAGGGCTGCCGGGTCCAGGAGAGCTGGGAGGGAGGTGTCGGTGCTTCCAGGGGCTGGTTCCCGGCCATGGGACACACTCACCTTGCTCATCGGTGCCGGGGCCTCGCTGGCTCTGCAGAGCGCCCAGAAGGAAGGAGGTGATGTCCTTGGTGGTGGTCACCAGGCGGGTGAGGAGCTCCTGCCAGCTCTGCGCCAGCTCTGCTGCCCGCATGGAGGCGGCCACCTCCGGCACCTGGAGCAGGCACCTCCGCAGGGCTGCGATGGCTCCTGCACAAACACCACCTCTGGTCACAGCCGGGGCTGGTGACACCCCATCCCTCCTCCCCGAGCCTGCAGCTGAGGCGGCTCACGGGCAGGGGAGCAAGCAGGGCCCCTACTGATGGGCACGCTGGGCAGGTGGAGCAGCAATATGGGGAAACTGAGGCAAGATTTGGCATCAGCACCGAGTTGTGGCCCCATTCCTGCCTGTACAATTCCTGCGTGCTCCCAGACTGGCCGTAGGAGCCACTAGCTGCCCGGCTGGGGACGTACCGTGCATCGGTGCGGTGGCTGCTGCCTGCAGCAGGTCCTGGCACGCCGCCGCGTACTGGGCTTGCAGCACGTGGAGAAGGTGCTGGGCGAAGCACAGCCCTCGGTTGGGCAACGTGGGGGCTGCTTCAGCCTCCAGGGCCAGGCTCTTCATGGTGCTGCTGTCCGACCTGGGGGCAGAGGTAAAGGCTGCTGCAAGGACGAGGGAGTTTTCTGCCCAAGTCGTGCTGTGCGGCTCCTTCCTACCCCAGATTGGGGTCCTGCGCCCCAACCCTACCCAGCTCCCCACTCCAAGGCTATTTCAAAGCCAAGCCCTCGCTGCCCTGAGATGTAAATGCAGCCTGTGGTGACACTCAGGGGCTGCTGACACGCTCTCGGGGGCTGCTGTGGGGAGGAGGAGGCTGGGGGGGCTCATACTTCTGCAGGATGGTCTTCATCAGCACGGCTCCAGCTTCAGCCTCCTGCACTCGCGGGCTGCCCAGGGCCTCCTGGGCCAGCTGGAAGAGAGCCAGGGCGATGGGCTCAGGGAACGTGGGGGGAAAGTAACGGACAAGAAGCTCCGAGGCCAAGTCTCTGATCTGCCAAAACAGGGGAGGTGGGAGGAATTGGTACAAAAGATGGGGGGGGAAGCAGCAGGGCAGAAGGGGGAGCCCATCGTGTGGGAAGCTCACCGTCCTTCCCCTCTGAGCCCACTCAGGGCCAAGGCAGGCTGCTTTACGACAATTAAGGCTCACCTCGTTAGTGCTGTCCTGCAAGCAGCTCAGCAGGGCCAACAAATTGGGCTGGGAGAAGAAGTCCCAGCAGCCGCTCCGCCTGGCGTAGCTCAGCAGCGTGGCCATGGTCCCTGCGGTGGGGACACGGGGCGGTGGGACAGGGACAGGGGAGAGCAGCCCTGCAGCCGAGGGGTGATGCTGCCCATACTCACGCGGGGGCTGGCCCTTCTTCCTCTCGGGGCTCCAGGTGTCCGTGCAGGTCTCCAGAACCGCGGCCAGGAGGAGCAGAGCCGTCTTCTTCCTCTGGTAGTTGGCGCCCGGGCTGAGCGAGGTGATGCTGAGCTGCAGCAGCCACTCCACGAATCCTGCAGGCAGAGATTGATGCCAGGCTGGGCACCTGTGTGTGAATCCCCTGGGACCAAGGTGGAGGTGCCGGGGTGGCCACCTCACCTACTGCCTGGGCCAGTTGCTCCGCTCCCTGGCTGGGCTGGGCTCCTTGGGCCACCTTCCCTCGCAGCTGGGCCAGCGAGCTGTCCCGCAGCCGCACCAGCGCCTTCCTCACCGCCGCCTGCAGCAGCTGCCGGAACGAGGAGGAGTCGCAGTTGAGGTTGAGGGGCAGGAACTCCCGCAGGAGCCGCATCTCGCTGCCCGAGAGGGGTCGGTTGGTGCTGGGGCTGCAGCAGAGGAGACCCAGCGCCGCCAGCCGCACGCCATCCTCCCGGGCGCCCAGGCAGCAGGAGAGACGCTCCAGCTCCTCGCCCCGCAGCGGCAGGGTCCCCGCCACGCTCTTCTGCGCCTTCAGCAGCGAGACCCACGCCCGGAGCGACGCCGTGTCCCGGGCGCTGAAGCGGGCGGCCAGCAGCGGGTGGGCAGCCGGGAGCTGCCGCAGGGTCCAGGCCAGGAGGTGGTTGGCGACATTGCTCTGCAGGATGGGCAGGGGGGAGCGGAGGGCCTGGGAGAGCAGGGGCAGCCAGGCCAGTGCCCACCGCTCTGCCAGGGCTGCCTCCGTGCCCCCCTGCCCCTCGGCACGCTGCTGCCGCACCAGGGCCTTGTAGACCTCGGTGGCGGCGGGACAGAGGTGGTTGGTGGAGAGGCAGCTCAGGAGGTGCTGCGGAAGGTCCGGGTAGGCGTCCAGCACCTGGGAAGAAGGCAGATGACCCTCAGTTCCCTGCCACGCTGAAGGTGGGGGACAGATCTGGGTGCAGACCACACTGCGGTCACCCGTGGCACTGAGCATCTCTGGTACCCCAAGCTGCTTTTGGCCAGATTATGGTGGGCATCAACTGGCAAAGCTCCCCTCCCCGCGGGCAGTCCCCAGGGCTGCATCCTTCCAGCTTCAGCTCTCTGCCCCACTGGGGACACCATCCCTTGGCTGGGAAAGGTGCCTGCATGGCTGAGCTGGGCAGGAGGTGACAGGCAGTGGACAGAGGCTGTGCCACCCCAGCAGTGGTGCCAGCCAGGACCGAGCCTTCCCTACCTGCTGGCTGCCCAGGTAGGGAACGACGGCACACAGGGGCACGTATCTGGCCTTGATTGGTTCCACAGAATCATAGAATTGCCTGGGTTGGAAGGGACCCTTCAAATCAGTTCCACAGAATCATAGAATTGCCTGGATTGGAAGGGACCCTTCAAATCATCCAACCATCAACCCAACACTGACAAAGCCACCACTGACCCACCTCCCTCAGCACCATGTCTGCCCAGCTTTTAGATACCTCCAGGGATGGTGACTCCACCATTTCCCTGGGCAACCTGGTCCAAGGCTTGATAACTCTTTCAGTGTCAAAATTGTTCCTAATCTCCAACCTGAACGGCAGGAGGGACCCCCATCCGGCAGGCAGCACTGGGGGGGCCAGCAGCAGCTCAGTCAGGCCCCCCAAGAGCAGCCCGATCTCCTGTGGAGAAGCAGAAGGTCACGGGGACCGGCCGTGGGGCTGCCCCATTCCTGTCCTGCCCCGCTGTAGCTGCCGCAGGGAAGCACAGGGGGGGGCTGCCATTACCCCCCCAGGACAAACCCTCTTGGTTGCCAGCACCACCGGGCAGTGTGGGCAGTGGGATGGCCACAAGCACACGCAGGCTCTGCAGCACGGCGGTTCCACAGAATCATAGAATTGCCTGGGTTGGAAGGGACCCTTCAAATCATCCAACCATCAACCCAACACTGACAAAGCCACCACTGACCCATGTCCCCCAGCACCATGTCTGCCTGGCTTTTAGATACCTCCAGGGATGGTGACTCCACCATTTCCCTGGGCAACCTGGTCCAAGGCTTGATAACTCTTTCAGTGTAAAAACTGTTCCTAATCTCCAATCTGAACCTCCCCTGGGGCAACTTGAGGCCGTTTCCTCTTGTCCCATCAGCTGTTCCTTGGGAGAAGAGACCGACCCCCCCTGGCTACACCCTCCTTTCAGGGAGTTGGAGAGAGCGAGAAGGTCTCCCAGGTTTCCCAGGGCAGAGAGGGCCTTTTTGCAGGCTGCCACTGGAGAGGAGGAGAAGGCAGGATGGGTGGCTATCAGAAAGGAGCCATGATGGGCTACAAGCTGGGGAGCCTGGCTCTGCCACAGCTGGGGTCTGTCAGTGCCTGGGACCCAGCTGGGCTACATCAGGGCAGGTGGGGAGGTGGCTGCTTTTGGGGAGGAGGGAGGTTGCATCCTCCCTGGCAGGGAGTGAGGATGTTCTGTGGCAGCTCTGAGGTAAGGGCAGAGATTCCCCATCATTAGTCCCCAGGGAGGGAGAATGCCCCGAGGGGAGCCGAGGAGCCCGGCTGCGGGGGTGAGCTGGGTGGTGGTTGCTGTGCTGGGGTGCCCCTGTCCCCGGTGCCATGGGGAGGGGTGCCTACCTTCACCGACACCCAGCAGCAGGTCAGGATCAGGCTGTGCTCCTCCGACAGCAGGACTGAGTCCTCCTCCTCCTCTTCCTCCTGCCCCCGGCCTTTCCCCAGCATGATGAGGGAGCCGATGGCGTTCCCCATGTCTGCAAACGATGGGGCCGCAGCTGCGGAAGGGAGAAGCCTGGTGTGAGCGGGGCGGTGTGGGGCAGAGGGAGGGGGATGTTGCTGGCGGGGTGGGGAGGACCCCCTGTTCAGAGCACACACAATTGACACTGTCTCCTGTCCCACAGTGTGTCCCAAAGCAAGTCCCTTCCCCGCAGGTTTGGAGGGCTGCTGGGTCCAGGAGAGCTGGGAGGGAGGTGTTGGTGCTTCCAGGGGCTGGTTCCCGGCCATGGGACACACTCACCTTGCTCATCGGTGCCGGGGCCTCGCTGGCTCTGCAGAGCGCCCAGAAGGAAGGAGGTGATGTCCTTGGTGGTGGTCACCAGGCGGGTGAGGAGCTCCTGCCAGCTCTGCGCCAGCTCTGCTGCCCGCATGGAGGCGGCCACCTCCGGCACCTGGAGCAGGCACCTCCGCAGGGCTGCGATGGCTCCTGCACAAACACCACCTCTGGTCACAGCCGGGGCTGGTGACACCCCATCCCTCCTCCCCGAGCCTGCAGCTGAGGCGGCTCACGGGCAGGGGAGCAAGCAGGGCCCCTACTGATGGGCACGCTGGGCAGGTGGAGCAGCAATATGGGGAAACTGAGGCAAGATTTGGCATCAGCACCGAGTTGTGGCCCCATTCCTGCCTGTACAATTCCTGCGTGCTCCCAGACTGGCCGTAGGAGCCACTAGCTGCCCGGCTGGGGACGTACCGTGCATCGGTGCGGTGGCTGCTGCCTGCAGCAGGTCCTGGCACGCCGCCGCGTACTGGGCTTGCAGCACGTGGAGAAGGTGCTGGGCGAAGCACAGCCCTCGGTTGGGCAACGTGGGGGCTGCTTCAGCCTCCAGGGCCAGGCTCTTCATGGTGCTGCTGTCCGACCTGGGGGCAGAGGTAAAGGCTGCTGCAAGGACGAGGGAGTTTTCTGCCCAAGTCGTGCTGTGCGGCTCCTTCCTACCCCAGATTGGGGTCCTGCGCCCCAACCCTACCCAGCTCCCCACTCCAAGGCTATTTCAAAGCCAAGCCCTCGCTGCCCTGAGATGTAAATGCAGCCTGTGGTGACACTCAGGGGCTGCTGACACGCTCTCAGGGGCTGCTGTGGGGAGGAGGAGGCTGGGGGGGCTCATACTTCTGCAGGATGGTCTTCATCAGCACGGCTCCAGCTTCAGCCTCCTGCACTCGCGGGCTGCCCAGGGCCTCCTGGGCCAGCTGGAAGAGAGCCAGGGCGATGGGCTCAGGGAACGTGGGGGGAAAGTAACGGACAAGAAGCTCCGAGGCCAAGTCTCTGATCTGCCAAAACAGGGGAGGTGGGAGGAATTGGTACAAAAGATGGGGGGGGAAGCAGCAGGGCAGAAGGGGGAGCCCATCGTGTGGGAAGCTCACCGTCCTTCCCCTCTGAGCCCACTCAGGGCCAAGGCAGGCTGCTTTACGACAATTAAGGCTCACCTCGTTAGTGCTGTCCTGCAAGCAGCTCAGCAGGGCCAACAAATTGGGCTGGGAGAAGAAGTCCCAGCAGCCGCTCTGCCTGGCGTAGCTCAGCAGCGTGGCCATGGTCCCTGCGGTGGGGACACGGGGCGGTGGGACAGGGACAGGGGAGAGCAGCCCTGCAGCCGAGGGGTGATGCAGCCCGTACTCACGTGGGGGCTGGCCCTTCTTCCTCTCGGGGCTCCAGGTGTCCGTGCAGGTCTCCAGAACCGCGGCCAGGAGGAGCAGAGCCGTCTTCTTCCTCTGGTAGTTGGCGCCCGGGCTGAGCGAGGTGATGCTGAGCTGCAGCAGCCACTCCACGAATCCTGCAGGCAGAGATTGATGCCAGGCTGGGCACCTGTGTGTGAATCCCCTGGGACCAAGGTGGAGGTGCCGGGGTGGCCACCTCACCTACTGCCTGGGCCAGTTGCTCCGCTCCCTGGCTGGGCTGGGCTCCTTGGGCCACCTTCCCTCGCAGCTGGGCCAGCGAGCTGTCCCGCAGCCGCACCAGCGCCTTCCTCACCGCCGCCTGCAGCAGCTGCCGGAACGAGGAGGAGTCGCAGTTGAGGTTGAGGGGCAGGAACTCCCGCAGGAGCCGCATCTCGCTGCCCGAGAGGGGTCGGTTGGTGCTGGGGCTGCAGCAGAGGAGACCCAGCGCCGCCAGCCGCACGCCGTCCTCCCGGGCGCCCAGGCAGCAGGAGAGACGCTCCAGCTCCTCGCCCCGCAGCGGCAGGGTCCCCGCCACGCTCTTCTGTGCCTTCAGCAGCGAGACCCACGCCCGGAGCGACGCCGTGTCCCGGGCGCTGAAGCGGGCAGCCAGCAGTGCGTGGGCAGCCGGGAGCTGCTGCAGAGTCCAGGCCAGGAGGTGGTTGGCGACATTGCTCTGCAGGATGGGCAGGGGGGAGCGGAGGGCCTGGGAGAGCAGGGGCAGCCAGGCCAGTGCCCACCGCTCTGCCAGGGCTGCCTCCGTGCCCCCCTGCCCCTCGGCACGCTGCTGCCGCACCAGGGCCTTGTAGACCTCGGTGGCGGTGGGACAGAGGTGGTTGGTGGAGAGGCAGCTCAGGAGGTGCTGCGGAAGGTCCGGGTAGGCGTCCAGCACCTGGGAAGAAGGCAGATGACCCTCAGCTCCCTGCCATGCTGAAGGGGGGGGGACAGATCTGGGTGCAGACCACACTGCGGTCACCCGTGGCACTGAGTTCCCTGCCACGCTGAAGGTGGGGGACAGATCTGGGTGCAGACCACACTGCGGTCACCCGTGGCACTGAGCATCTCTGGTACCCCAAGCTGCTTTTGGCCAGATTATGGTGGGCATCAACTGGCAAAGCTCCCCTCCCCGCGGGCAGTCCCCAGGGCTGCATCCTTCCAGCTTCAGCTCTCTGCCCCACTGGGGACACCATCCCTTGGCTGGGAAAGGTGCCTGCATGGCTGAGCTGGGCAGGAGGTGACAGGCAGTGGACAGAGGCTGTGCCACCCCAGCAGTGGTGCCAGCCAGGACCGAGCCTTCCCTACCTGCTGGCTGCCCAGGTAGGGAACGACGGCACACAGGGGCACGTATCTGGCCTTGATTTGCCACGGCATCGAGACCACCCTCTGCAGCATCTGTTGGTAGAGGGGTCTCTCCTGGTCCTGGAAGTGCTGGCACTCGAGGTGGTAGATCTCCAGGAGCAGTCGGAAGGAGGTGTGGATGAACTCGGACACCCCTTCCACCTGGGGGGAGAAGGAGGGCAAGCAGGAGGGGTTAGGGTGGGTTTCCCCTCCTGTCTCCCTGCAGCAGGAGAGACCCTTTGCTCTCCTGTGCCTGCGAGCTTTCAGCACTGTCTGGCAGCCACAGGGTTAGGAGCTGGGGATGGTGATGAGCCAGCAGATGGGGACAGGCTGGGATGCACTGGTGGGGAGGGTGAAGCACTGGGACGGGGGCCCTGCAGAGGCCAGGTGTGATGAGTGCCCCGGCCTCAGCAGCACGGGTGCAGGCAGCCACTGGGAAGGGGATGTGGTTGGTTGATGGAGCTGAAACGAGCAGCTCCAGGGTGCGTTACAGGCAGGGGAACAGCAGCCGAGGGCTGTTTCTGGCTGCTGTGACACGGACCTTCAGTACCCCCATCCTTACCGGGGTCTCGGCGTTGTCCCACAGCAGCTGGGTGAGCCGCTGGAGCAGCTCAGTGTCCTGTCCCAGGACGCGGGTCCCCGTCAGGCGCTGGAGGGCAGGCAGGCTGTCCCGCAGGCGCTGCAGCCACAGGGCACAGGCTGCCAAAGCAGAGAGCAGCCCTGCAGCCCTCACCCCACAACTTGCCCACAGCCGAGACAGCGAGGGGTGACGGGGGATCAGGGACCCCGTGTGTCAGGGGGACAGCGTCCCCATCAGGTACGCAAGAGCCTGTGAGGGTTAGTGCCCACCCGGCTGGAGCAGAAATTAATTGCCGTTTCCAAACTAGATCTACCAAGATCCAGATAAAGCATCTTCTCTGGGAGAAGATGAGGTGCTGCAGGGGCTCCAGGAGCACAGTGAACCTTCCAAACCTCCCTGCTGCGGTGGGGTCATTGTCTCCTACCTTGGAAGCAGTAGTAGTGGCAGTCCTTCTGCTCCTTGGTGAGGGCACACACTGTGGGAAGGACCACGTCCAGCAGCAGGCAGGCCTGGGGGAACACGGCGGCTCAGGGAGGAGAGCACTGCCTGCTTTTTCTGCTTCTACAGCAGTTTGGTCCCTGTCTGGAACCCCTCAGCTCTTGAGGACTCGGGACACATCAGAAACGGGCAGAGCTTTGCTTGTGCAGGGACTACTTTTGGCAGCTCCTGGCTTCTCATCTCCCCGGGAGATGGAAATCCCCCGTCAGGTGTCTTTGGAAAAGCAGGCTCCTGGCTGAGGCACCGTGCTCAGCAGGACACGTGGAGCTGCTGGTGTGGAGCGGTGCAGCCTGGCCACCTCCCTGGGGACCCACAGCCCATGCCAGTGGCTGCCAGCCCTGCCCAAGGGGCTCTCCCAATCCCTGGCTGGTGGGTTTGAGCTCTCCTACCCGGTGGGTGAAGCTCTCCAGCTGACAGCTGAGGATGTCGGTCTTGCAGCACGTCAGCAAACCCCTGGTGAGCACCAGCTTCTCCAGCCCATCTGGCTCCGGGACAGGGGGAACCTCCACCTCCAGCTCCCCAAACTTCAGCTGCCCTGCACCTGGTGGGAAACGACCTGTGTGAGGTGGCCAAAAGGTGGCAAACCCAAGTGCTGATCCCAGAGCCACCTGCCCTGCTCATCCCGGAGTGACCGTGGGAGGTGGCCGGTGGCAGCTGGGGCTCCCAGGCCCCAAGAGCAGGACACCACAGGGGAGTCCAGCTCACACCGCTGCTGGGTGGCACTGGTCGGTGTCCCCTGGCACCCAGACACACCTGTACCTGGTGTCCCCTTCTCCAGAGGCTGACCCTGGGTCGGGATGGAGCATGTTCCTCGGTGGGGGAGCTGGAAGAGGGCCAGGGTGGCGCTGGCCCCGCGCTGGGGCTGGGGGGCCGTGTTCACCAACATGCTCAGGGCTGTCCCCGCCAGCAGCCGCGTCTCCTTGTCTGGGGCCTGGACTCGCACGGGAGGCAAAGGCACAGCTCAAAGCACCATTTGAAAACCAAGACCCCATTTAACCCCAGCAGACATGGTCCCCGGACACCCCAAAGACTGGGGCTGCCTCTGCGGGCTCCCCTCGGGGAGGGGAATGGAGAAAGCACCCAGGAAGGATGCTCTGCTTCTTGGGACAGGCAGCCCCTTCCCTCTCCATACCTTCCCCCATGACACCTCCAGCAGCAGCCCCAGCAGGCTCTGCAGGGCTTTGCTCTTCCCCACCGTGCTCCACACCAGGGGGGCCACGTCCTTCGGCAGCGCCTGGAAGAGCTGGAGGCAGGCCTGGGGGAGAGGAGAGACGGGGGCTGCAGGGATGGCAGTCAGCGTCCCCCACCTCCGGAAAACCTCAGGGACGGGGTGGCCATTCAAAGTGGCTCTGTGTGTCACATCCCTCCTGGACAGTCCCACACAGTCCTTGCAGGGACTTCTCCTTCCCCTCTTAAAGGGTGGGTGTCAGGAGGATGGGGCCAGCCTTTTTTCAGCGGTGCCCAGGGACAGGACAAGAGGAAATGGGCACAAACTTGAACATAAGAAGTTCCCCTAAACATGAGGAGGAACTTCTTTCCTGTGAGGGTGGCAGAGCCCTGGAAGAGGCTGCCCAGGGAGGTGGTGGAGTCTCCTTCTCTGGAGACATTCAAACCCACCTGGACATGGTCCTGTGGGACCTGCTCTGGGTGGACCTGCTTTGGCAGGGGGTTGGACTGGATGATCTCCAGAGGTCCCTTCCAACCCCATGGGATTCTGTGATTCTGCTTTGAGATTTGGCTCTTACCTTGACAGCCAGGTAGCCCCACGTGCCGGCGGGAGGGGGCTGGCTCCGTAGCACCCAGCGCAAGGTGGTGGCCAGGCCCTGCAGCAGCGGGGCCAGGTTCTGCTGCCAGTGCTGCCGGCCCAGGCTGCTCTCCTCCATGAACATGCACACTGTGGGCAAGGGGACAGCATCAGCTCCTGTCACTGTGCCTGCAGCCAGCCCTGCTCCTGGTCACACTGAGGGCCACGCTGCCAGGAAGCGGGGTAAGAACGGGGCTGGGATGCAGGGGATGCTTTGGGGGATGCTTTGTCTGGTTTCTGGCCATCCCGGGCGGGTGGGCACAGCCACTGGGTGCTGCTGGGACCTCCTCAGAGACCCCACGGATCCGCCTGGTCCCTGCTCCCCCTCCCACCAGCGCAGAGGACCCGGTGTGGGTGGGCAGGAGGTGTCCCGAGGGCTGGGAGAAGCCTCCAGAGGGGCAGGAGCAGAGACTGACCTGACTGAAGGTCCCCAGGAGACAGCACCTGTGGGGGCAGAAGGACAGTTTGACCTGCGTGACAACACGCTGGGGCTCGGTGCCTCGGACAGGAGGGTCCTGCCTGCGCCAGAAACTGTCCCAGCGATGAGCAAAGGGCTGGTGTGACGGGCAGCCACGTGTCACCGGCTGCGAGCGAGGGCGAGCCCCCAGCACGGGGGGAAGAGAAGGGGCCCCTGTCACCAAGGGGCTCCAGCCAAGCCCCTGCGAAAGCTGGTGCCACCGCACACCTGGGGTGCTCTCACCTCTCCCGGCGGCACCAGGCCGGCCAGCAGCGCGCCCACCTCCCGGGACAGCAGGGCTTCCTTCCCCACCGCCAGCTGGGTCACCATCTGCCGAGAGACACCCCGAGTCAGCCCGGGCCCCCGAGAGATCCCAGCTGCAATACGCTTTTCGGGGAGCTCCACGGCATCACCGTGGTCCCCTCACCGGTAAGGACGTGCCACACCAGGGCTGTGCCACTCACGTTGGTGGCTGCCAGAGCTCTGAAGCCACGGTTGCTTTACAGACCTGTTCCAGTTTCTGGAAGGAGCTGGAGCTGCCGGTTGCCTCCATCTGGAAAGCCAGGACGCAGCGGAGCAGGGGCCGTGCCTCCGCCTCACCCAGCGCCCGCAGACCCTCGCTCAGCGCCCGCGACAGCCGGAGAGCCTCCTCCAGGTGCTTGTCTCTGCATCTCCTGGCAGTGCTCCTGGAACGGGACGGGGACAGCGGTGAGGACACCCCGGTGAGGACACCCCGGCTCGGCGGGGATTGGGGTGGGGGGTACCCCAGCTCGGTGGAGCTCAGGGTTAGGGTTCCCCAGGTCAATGTGGGTTGGAGGGGGGGTACCCCAGCTCGATTTGGATGGGGGTAGGGGTGCCCCAGCGTGGTAGGGGTTAGGGTTGGAGTGCCCCGGCTTGTGAGGGCTCTCTGCCGGCTGCAGCAGCATTGTCTGGCCAGGGGAGGGGCTGGCAAAGCTCCCCTCCCCACGGGCAGTCCCCAGGGGTGCATCCTTCCAGCTCCAGCTCTCTGCCCCACTAGGGACACCATCCCTTGGCTGGGAAAGGTGCCTGCATGGCTGAGATGGGCAGGAGGTGACCGGCAGTGGACAGAGACTGTGCCACCCCAGCAGTGGTGCCAGCCAGGACCGAGCCCTCCCTACCTGCTGGCTGCCCAGGTAGGGAACGACGGCACACAGGGGCACGTATCTGGCTTTGATTTGCCACGGCATGGAGACCACCCTCTGCAGCATCTGTTGGTAGAGGGGTCTCTCCTGGTCCTGGAAGTGCTGGCACTCGAGGTGGTAGATCTCCAGGAGCAGTCGGAAGGAGGTGTGGATGAACTCGGACACCCCTTCCACCTGGGGGGAGAAGGAGGGCAAGCAGGAGGGGTTAGGGTGGGTTTCCCCTCCTGTCTCCCTGCAGCAGGAGAGACCCTTTGCTCTCCTGTGCCTGCGAGCTTTCAGCACTGTCTGGCAGCCACAGGGTTAGGAGCTGGGGATGGTGATGAGCCAGCAGATGGGGACAGGCTGGGATGCACTGGTGGGGAGGGTGAAGCACTGGGACGGGGGCCCTGCAGAGGCCAGGTGTGATGAGTGCCCCGGCCTCAGCAGCACGGGTGCAGGCAGCCACTGGGAAGGGGATGTGGTTGGTTGATGGAGCTGAAACGAGCAGCTCCAGGGTGCGTTACAGGCAGGGGAACAGCAGCCGAGGGCTGTTTCTGGCTGCTGTGACACAGACCTTCAGTACCCCCATCCTTACCGGGGTCTCGGCGTTGTCCCACAGCAGCTGGGTGAGCCGCTGGAGCAGCTCGGTGTCCTGTCCCAGGACGCGGGTCCCCGTCAGGCGCTGGAGGGCAGGCAGGCTGTCCCGCAGGCGCTGCAGCCACAGGGCACAGGCTGCCAAAGCAGAGAGCAGCCCTGCAGCCCTCACCCCACAACTTGCCCACAGCCGAGACAGCGAGGGGTGACGGGGGATCAGGGACCCCGTGTGTCAGGGGGACAGCGTCCCCATCAGGTACGCAAGAGCCTGTGAGGGTTAGTGCCCACCCGGCTGGAGCAGAAATTAATTGCCGTTTCCAAACTAGATCTACCAAGATCCAGAAAAGCATCTTCTCTGGGAGAAGATGAGGTGCTGCAGGGGCTCCAGGAGCACAGTGAACCTTCCAAACCTCCCTGCCGCGGCGGGGTCGTTGTCTCCTACCTTGGAAGCAGTAGTAGTGGCAGTCCTTCTGCTCCTTGGTGAGGGCACACACCGTGGGAAGGACCACGTCCAGCAGCAGGCAGGCCTGGGGGAACACAGCGGCTCAGGGAGGAGAGCACTGCCTGCTTTTTCTGCTTCTACAGCAGTTTGGTCCCTGTCTGGAACCCCTCAGCTCTTGAGGACTCGGGACACATCAGAAACGGGCAGAGCTTTGCTTGTGCAGGGACTACTTTTGGCAGCTCCTGGCTTCTCATCTCCCCGGGAGATGGAAATCCCCCGTCAGGTGTCTTTGGAAAAGCAGGCTCCTGGCTGAGGCACCGTGCTCAGCAGGACACGTGGAGCTGCTGGTGTGGAGCGGTGCAGCCTGGCCACCTCCCTGGGGACCCACAGCCCATGCCAGTGGCTGCCAGCCCTGCCCAAGGGGCTCTCCCAATCCCTGGCTGGTGGGTTTGAGCTCTCCTACCCGGTGGGTGAAGCTCTCCAGCTGACAGCTGAGGATGTCGGTCTTGCAGCACGTCAGCAAACCCCTGGTGAGCACCAGCTTCTCCAGCCCATCTGGCTCCGGGACAGGGGGAACCTCCACCTCCAGCTCCCCAAACTTCAGCTGCCCTGCACCTGGTGGGAAACGACCTGTGTGAGGTGGCCAAAAGGTGGCAAACCCAAGTGCTGATCCCAGAGCCACCTGCCCTGCTCATCCCGGAGTGACCGTGGGAGGTGGCCGGTGGCAGCTGGGGCTCCCAGGCCCCAAGAGCAGGACACCACAGGGGAGTCCAGCTCACACCGCTGCTGGGTGGCACTGGTCGGTGTCCCCTGGCACCCAGACACACCTGTACCTGGTGTCCCCTTCTCCAGAGGCTGACCCTGGGTCGGGATGGAGCATGTTCCTCGGTGGGGGAGCTGGAAGAGGGCCAGGGCGGCGCTGGCCCCGCGCTGGGGCTGGGGGGCCGTGTTCACCAACATGCTCAGGGCTGTCCCCGCCAGCAGCCGCGTCTCCTTGTCTGGGGCCTGGACTTGCACGGGAGGCAAAGGCACAGCTCAAAGCACCATTTGAAAACCAAGACCCCATTTAACCCCAGCAGACATGGTCCCCGGACACCCCAAAGACTGGGGCTGCCTCTGCGGGCTCCCCTCGGGGAGGGGAATGGAGAAAGCACCCAGGAAGGATGCTCTGCTTCTTGGGACAGGCAGCCCCTTCCCTCTCCATACCTTCCCCCATGACACCTCCAGCAGCAGCCCCAGCAGGCTCTGCAGGGCTTTGCTCTTCCCCGCCGTGCTCCACACCAGGGGGGCCACGTCCTTCGGCAGCGCCTGGAAGAGCTGGAGGCAGGCCTGGGGGAGAGGAGAGACGGGGGCTGCAGGGATGGCAGTCAGCGTCCCCCACCTCCGGAAAACCTCAGGGACGGGGTGGCCATTCAAAGTGGCTCTGTGTGTCACATCCCTCCTGGACGGTCCCACACAGTCCTTGCAGGGACTTCTCCTTCCCCTCTTAAAGGGTGGGTGTCAGGAGGATGGGGCCAGCCTTTTTTCAGCGGTGCCCAGGGACAGGACAAGAGGAAATGGGCACAAACTTGAACATAAGAAGTTCCCCTAAACATGAGGAGGAACTTCTTTCCTGTGAGGGTGGCAGAGCCCTGGAAGAGGCTGCCCAGGGAGGTGGTGGAGTCTCCTTCTCTGGAGACATTCAAACCCACCTGGACATGGTCCTGTGGGACCTGCTCTGGGTGGACCTGCTTTGGCAGGGGGTTGGACTGGATGATCTCCAGAGGTCCCTTCCAACCCCATGGGATTCTGTGATTCTGCTTTGAGATTTGGCTCTTACCTTGACAGCCAGGTAGCCCCACGTGCCGGCGGGAGGGGGCTGGCTCCGTAGCACCCAGCGCAAGGTGGTGGCCAGGCCCTGCAGCAGCGGGGCCAGGTTCTGCTGCCAGTGCTGCCGGCCCAGGCTGCTCTCCTCCATGAACATGCACACTGTGGGCAAGGGGACAGCATCAGCTCCTGTCACTGTGCCTGCAGCCAGCCCTGCTCCTGGTCACACTGAGGGCCACGCTGCCAGGAAGCGGGGTAAGAACGGGGCTGGGATGCAGGGGATGCTTTGGGGGATGCTTTGTCTGGTTTCTGGCCATCCCGGGCGGGTGGGCACAGCCACTGGGTGCTGCTGGGACCTCCTCAGAGACCCCACGGATCCGCCTGGTCCCTGCTCCCCCTCCCACCAGCGCAGAGGACCCGGTGTGGGTGGGCAGGAGGTGTCCCGAGGGCTGGGAGAAGCCTCCAGAGGGGCAGGAGCAGAGACTGACCTGACTGAAGGTCCCCAGGAGACAGCACCTGTGGGGGCAGAAGGACAGTTTGACCTGCGTGACAACACGCTGGGGCTCGGTGCCTCGGACAGGAGGGTCCTGCCTGCGCCAGAAACTGTCCCAGCGATGAGCAAAGGGCTGGTGTGATGGGCAGCCACGTGTCACCGGCTGCGAGCGAGGGCGAGCCCCCAGCACGGGGGGAAGAGAAGGGGCCCCTGTCACCAAGGGGCTCCAGCCAAGCCCCTGCGAAAGCTGGTGCCACCGCACACCTGGGGTGCTCTCACCTCTCCCGGCGGCACCAGGCCGGCCAGCAGCGCGCCCACCTCCCGGGACAGCAGGGCTTCCTTCCCCACCGCCAGCTGGGTCACCATCTGCCGAGAGACACCCCGAGTCAGCCCGGGCCCCCGACAGATCCCAGCCATAATACGCTTTTTGGGGAGCTCCGTGGCATCACCGTGGCCTCCTCACTGGTAAGGACGCGCCGCACCGGGGCTGTGCCACTCACATTGGTGGCTGCCAGAGCTCTGAAGCCACGGTTGCCTTACGGACCTGTTCCAGTTTCTGGAAGGAGCTGGAGCTGCCGGTTGCCTCCATCTGGAAAGCCAGGACGCAGCGGAGCAGGGGCCGTGCCTCCGCCTCACCCAGCGCCCGCAGACCCTCGCTCAGCGCCCGCGACAGCCGGAGAGCCTCCTCCAGGTGCTTGTCCCTGCATCTCCTGGCAGTGCTCCTGGAACGGGATGGGGACAGCGGTGAGGACACCCCGGTGAGGACACCCCGGCTCGGCGGGGATTGGGGTGGGGGGTACCCCAGCTCGGTGGAGCTCAGGGTTAGGGTTCCCCAGGTCAATGTGGGTTGGAGGGGGGGTACCCCAGCTCGATTTGGATGGGGGTAGGGGTGCCCCAGCGTGGTAGGGGTTAGGGTTGGAGTGCCCCGGCTTGTGAGGGCTCTCTGCCGGCTGCAGCAGCATTGTCTGGCCAGGGGAGGGCG